ATATCAGACCACTATAACGTATAGCTCTCATATAAACTGAACGTTCGGAATCAAGTACTTATATGGAAAACTTTGTCATTTGACGAGATATCTTCATGAAATTTAGTATGGTTTAGAGCTTAAGACATTTATGTAATATGCGAAGAAATTGTTCAGATCGAACCACTATAAGTTGTAGCTGCCATACAAATTGACTGATCAAAATCATATACTTGTATGAAATCCTATTCTATTTGTTGAGATATCATCAAGAAATTTGGTATGCATTATTGTGCAAAGTGTCTTTATAATATCTGAAGAAATTGTTCAAATCGGAGTACTATAGCATATAGGTGCCATACAAATTGACTTATCAAAGTGATGTCCTTGTATGAAATACTTTTCTAGTTGTTGAGATATCATCACGAAATTTGGCATGCATTATTTTCCAAAGTATCTTAATAATTTCTAAAGAAATTGTTCAAATCGGAGTACCATAGCATATAGCTGCCATACAAACTAACTGATCAAAATCAAGATAAGGAGGTTTTTATACTACTATACAAAAAAATAGGTATTATAGTATTTTGCTTGTTTTTGTTTTATTCATAATCATTGCAATAAATTTTTTAATTTTTCAAATTATCTCTAATTAAAATACAAAATATTATAAAAAGTGCAAAATACCAATTTTCTTGCCTTTCTAAGATAATTTTTTCATTCGTTTACACACTGTCTGCAATTGACAATAGCTTACTTATAATTTAGTGTCTCTTCAAGCATAAAATAAAAATAAATTCTTCTGCAGCGTGTACCCGTATTTGCTGTTGCTATTTACTATAATGGCCGTCGTCTATCTACATTTATTCTATTTCTCCGATTTTATGCATGTACTACATTTGTTCGTCTGTAAATATTTGCTTTGTGCATTCCTTATTGCGCTATCACACAGCTCCTTCGACTGCAACGCATTGGTAGATAATGCAGCCCATGAGCGTTTCGCTACTGCTTTTGTCACGTCTGAATCGCATAGGCCAACATTCACTTGACTTATTTTCTTACTCACATGCAATTTTCCCTATTTTTTCTTTTGTTTTTGCAATTCACAACTGCAATTGCATCCAAAGCTGCTACCAACACACCGCACAACAGCAATGATACCCGGAGTTACATGGACAATTACCATAACAGCAACAAGCGATGCAAATCCCAAGCATTTTAATGTAAATACCAGCACCGAGAACCTGCGTCTTATATTTAAACATATTTCTGGCATCTTCATAGCAGCCTGTTGCCTGCCTTCTGCCTCAACTGCTGTTTGTGAAGGCACTGTTATACGCACAAACCTACCATTCCTGAGCTGTGTCCTACCCATTAAGGGTGACGGGTGCACTGTGCATATAAATATGCCTGCGCACTTGGCTTTAATTGTTCTGACACGAGCGACACTTTGAACTTCTGCTACCTTCACTTTCTCTCATTTACCTTTAGACTTTAACTATACATACTTGTATATATGCTCTGTTTGTCTATTCGACTACACTTGCTTATTTATGTTGAGGCGTGAGTCTCAGCCTTTCGCTACACTCACGCTACCGAAAGTGCTCATATCGCAAATTGCATGAATAATTCCCTTTAAATGCATTCGTGCGACATGACACTGAACTGCTACTGCCTTGATAGGTAGGCTTTTCTCCTCCTGCACAGCATAGACTTTAAGATTTGTCTTCAGTTGTCATACATAAAATGCATCACTGTATACATAAATACGCGCATTTCTACAAAAACGTCTATATATTGGGTAGTCAAAAAAGTCTTTTCGTTTTTCTAATCAAATTTTAACTTATTTTTTATATTTATAATAATCAATAAACAAATATGTACCGTTTTGATCGGCCATTTTTCCGCTAGAGACATTCAGTCAGTATAAATCGAAATTTCCAGAACCGAAGAGAGCGAACCATTGTCGTGCTACGCGAACTGATACAGCATCGTCTCCGTAAACTTCACAAATTTGATTGGTGGCTTGCGTGGCATTCTTACAACTTTTTATACAAAAATTTCGAAATGTAGCGAATTTCTTCACTATTTCCACTCATTTTCTAAGAGCTGTTACTTTTTTTTCAATTTCTCTGAATTTAATTTTTTTTTTATCTTAAAAATCTCACGCACGGGAGATAGCGATTGCAACAAGATCTATGTATGGACAAAATACGAAAAGACTTTTTCGACTACTATGTAGATGGCATATTGAGGTGACAACCCAAAAACTTGAAAATATTATATTCTCGCATCAAATTTTTCGCTGTGCAAATAAGAACTTTTTTAAGTATAAATCACTTGAAATTTATACGCAGTTAAAGTTGTGAGTATACCTAGAGCCTTCACCATACAGTACACCATGTCGTATGAGCAACACAGCATCTCTAAGGCTCTTGTACGAATGCACAGTACATTTGATGCATAAGTTTAACTGCGTATAACTTATAAAAGAGTATTTTTATGGAAAAAATCAGTAAGAGCCTTTTTGTAGAGCGGATATATTTGTATTAAAAAATTGCTTTTCCGCAGTTGTGCAGTTAAAAAATTTATTGTAAAAGTAAAAAACAAACAAAAAAAAAAAAGTACAATATTGAGGAAAAGTAAAATTGTGCATTCACAATTTAAAATGAAAATAAAGTGTTTGGTTTCATTAGATCTGGGTTTTACAGCAAAAACTGAAGTTTCAGGTGTGTATGCAAAACAGTTCAACTTAGAAATAATGAATATTCTAATGCATTTGTATAAAAAATGTATAAAACCACTCTTTTACCACCTTATTTTTCACTGCAGAGAGAGCTAGTGTGCATGTCTGTTATTGACAATTTGCGTTACGCTCTCATAAACGCGTTAAACCGATTGCTTAATCAAGCATTATCGCTTCAGAAGTGCACGGCGTTGTAGTTTTTTTTTACAGTTATTACATTAATATATTATTTTAGTGGCTTATGAAATGTCTGTCAATAAGCTAGAAAATTATTAAAAAAATGTAAAAAAAAATAAAAA